AAGTGTTCCTCCGGTAAACGGGAGTTGCATAATCTCATAGACATAGGAACATGTATAAGTCATGAAGAAAGCAATAGCAACATACTAAACGATCAAATGCTAAGCTAATGGAATGGGTCAAGTCAATCACATCATTCTCCTAATGATGTGATCCCGTTAATCAAATGACAACTCATGTCTATGGTTAGGAAACTTAACCATCTTTGATTAACGAGCTTGTCAAGTAGAGGCATACTAGTGACACTATGTTTGTCTATGTATTCACACATGTATTATGTTTCCGGTTAATACAATTCTAGCATGAATAATAAACATTTATCATGAAATAAGGAAATAAATAATAACTTTATTATTGCCTCTAGGGCATATTTCCTTCACCTTTGTCATCGGTATGTTACTTGCCTGAGATTCGACCGCCGGTATCTTCATACCTTGTTCAATCTCGTCATCGGCAAGTCTCTTTACTCGTTCTATAATGCATCATCCAGCAACTAACTCATTAGTCACATTTCTTGCAAGGCTTATTATGATGTGCATTACCAAGAGGGCCTAGAGATACCTCTCCGATACTCGGAGTTACAAATCCTAATCTCGACCTATGCCAACCCAACAAACACCTTCAGAGATACCTGTAGAGCATCTTTATAATCACCTAGTTATGTTGTGACGTTCGATAGCACACAAGGTATTCCTCCAGTATCCGGGAGTTGCATAATCTCATAGTCAAAGCATTATGTATATAACATGAAGAAAGCAATAACAATAAAACTTAATGATCATTATGCTAAGCTAATGGATTGGTCTTGTCCATCACATCATTCTCCAAATGATGTGATCCCGTTCATCAAATGACAACACATGTCTATGGTTAGGAAACTTAACCATCTTTGATTGATGAGCTAGTCTAGTAGAGGCTTACTAGGGACACGGTGTTTTGTCTATGTATCCACACATGAATCAAGTTTCCGGTTAATACAATTCTAGCATGAATAATAAACATTTATCATGATATAAGGAAATATAAAATAACAACTTTATTATTGCCTCTAGGGCATATTTCCTTCACCTGTGGGAACTGCTCACACATCATCATGGATGCAGCAAGGTTGATGAAGATTGCCTCACTAATGGTTTCTTCCTCCGGCGGAGTACCGTAAAAGGCCTCCAAATGGGATCATGGAAGAATAGAAGCTTGCGGCGACGATAAAATTGTTTCAGGTCTCGCTTCAAGGGTTCCTGAATTTTAGGGAATTTATTGGTTGGGAATTATGTCAAACGGAGCCACGTGGGCCTCACAAGTGTTGATGGCTTGAGATAGTCGCTCCCTCGGGAGTCTTCTGGTCTCTCCCTGAAACTTCTATGGTCTCTTATGGTCAAAAAAATATTAGTGTAAAGTTTTATCGTGTTTGAACTTCGTTTGTTATGGTTTTTGTCGAAACAAAGGAATAGGTGAAAACAAGATTTTACACTAGGCACAAAGTTAATAGGTTAGTCCACAATAATAATAAATGATATTTACAACATACAATATTGATAATATAATAACATAAAACCATAAAAAAATTATAGATATGTAATACGTTGGAGATGTATCACGCTTGAACTCCCTCTCGGAGTCCTCCATCACGGCCTGCACCAGCCGCTCCTCCTCTTCGGCGGTCATGGTGGGAGGTGGTGGTGGTGGTGGGGACGGAGAGGGGGAGGGCGCCGGCATCAAGCCGTGCACCTGTGCATGACCGCACGCTCTGGGTGGGCGCTGTGTGCGCGCGCGCGGCTCACGAGGTGGGCTACGGGCACGGCCGACAAAGAACGTTTGCCAGCGGATGCCGTGCCCGTCTTGGAACCAAGTGTCCCAGAACGATGATTCCACGTCGTACCATGGCTCGGCGAGGAGGTGGCGCAGGATGCGATCGCGCCAGCAGTTGATATCCATGTTGCGGGCACAACCGGTCACTGGGACGGTCGGGATTAGCACCCGATTCGGGCTCACATGCCACCCAGTTGGGAGGTGGGCATCAGACCATGACAACGGGGTGCCGGTCTCCCAGCAACGCCGGCATATCTCCACCTTTACGTACGACCGGAAGCGTGGAGGCGGAGTACACGGCGGCGCTGCCCGACGATGCGGAGGACGACCACGCCTCATGGTCATTCTTTGCCTTCTTGCCAGGCACCCACTTCCACATGCCCATTCTAGCGGGCGGGCGGGAGCAAGGAGGGTGAGCTGGGCGGCGCTAGGGTTTGCTGGTCTGGGCGGGAGGGGGCAGTGGAGTGGAAGTGTGTGGACGCTTTTAAATATAACAGATAATAGTGGAGCTCGAAAATTGATGTGTATTTGAGTCATAGGAGTTGTTGGTAATCAGCAATATGCTTGTATTGGTGATGTTTCTGTTGTTGTCAAAAACGCATTGCTCCAAATGCCTCTAGAAAGATCCAAAGTAATTTGAGCTATAATTTTACGTACATGAGTTCATGTTAGGAAGTGGGCTGGCCAGTCCACGGCTTTGCCATTAAAAAGGACGCGACCCAAGGTAGATGGGAGGCTCACATGCAGCCCCGTGTACCCTTGTGGATTAAATGAGGACGGTAGGGAGTGGGGGGGGGAGCGATGTGTGTGTTCCTGCCTAGTGTTAAAAACTACCCAAAATTGTGCCCGGTTTGGGTCAGAACGGCATTCCTAAACGGTGCCCGTTACATGGATTGCACAAACGGGCGCACACCGCCATGCCTTGTTGGGCCGGCACATTTTAGTATTTTTTTTCTTTTCTGTAATACTCTAGAAAATTATGGGCCTAATAAGTATCAAACTCGCAACCTCCTAGCTGATTACAAACTTCCTTTTCTTCTTCTTTAAATATAACGCTACAAAATGTAGTGTTTTCCCCATTTTTTTTATTCTCTCTTCTTTTCTTTTCTGTTTTTGAATTGCGTGAACTTTTTTTTATCAAATTTGATGAACTTATCTTTCAAATACGACGATTTTTTAATCTGATGATTTTTTTAATTCAGTAAACTTTTTCCAAATTCGGTGAACTTTTTTCAAATTTGATGTTTTTTTTCAAATCCGATGAACTTTTTTTTCAAATTCGATGAAATTTTTTGTCAAATTCGCTGAACTTTTTTCGAAATTGATGAAGTTTTTTGATTTTCTGTTTTTTTTGAACTTTTACAAAAAGTCAACAGTCAACAACTAGCAACCACTTTTTTTAGACAACTCATCGAGTGATCTGAACTAAAAAAAATGCAGTGATGGATCGAGCGAATGAGCACCTGCCCCAATTCATGTATAATGGGCCAGCCCAAATTCCATCTCGCGTGGGCGCTAGACCCATGTTCGGGCGCTCCCAGTCAGAACGACGCGGAACAAAAGTTTTTTTAGTTTACTCTCGCGTGTTGGGCTCTCGATCGTGTCCGTAACGAGCCAAATGGACCCGGCCGGACAAAATGGCGGTCACCCGTTAAAGTTGGTCTAAAGCAAGACTCAACGCATCATTCCGTGCAGCGAGTACACTTGGTCACGGATCGTGCCACGCCTTCCGAATACGTGCCTAGTAGGCGACCCAAATGCTACTCCCTCCATCTCATAATATACGGGCGTTTAGTGTAAAAATACTTTTATATTATGAGACAAAGAGAGTAGAAAAAACCATGCCGTGAAACCCGAAGAACACTGATGATATACTACCTTCGTATTGGTTTATTGGTCCGTAACAACTCTGGAGGACGAGAATTGTACCCAACGCTGAGCAGTTTTAGCGATTCATAACACCGGAGACATATAGGAACAGAAGATTGTAGTCCCAATCACCACGTGTGCCGGTCGATAGAGACGAGAGGGGGGTTGCCCGCTTGTTTGGATACAGGGAATTAGATGTGAGATTTTAGAAAACGAGTTTTTGGAGGATTTTTAGGAAAATCAGTTTTGGTTAGTTATTCTGTTAAGGTAAGTATACCCAGTACCTTGTTTGGATGGAAAAATTAGAAAAACACAATTTTGAGTTCTTCCCAAACAATACATGGAGGTGTGGTGCTTCGGCTTGCTCTTGGCACCTACACGCACAGCGGCGGACAACCACACCGTAAACTGCTCTCTCGCGAGGCCATCACCGAGGCCGCCAGGGTGGTCGCACTGCTCGCCTGGTCGTGCTCGGCTTCGTTCGCCGGTGTCATGCATGTTGGCTCAGGTTCCCATCAAAGAAGCACGTACATGCAACTCACATACGGCAAGACACGAGTACACAACGTAAAGCACCTTGAATGATTCTCAAGCCGGGCATGCATGTAGCATCTAGCTAGCTGCTGGATCGATTGGCCGGTAACAGCAGAGCACAACACACATGCTAGGGAGGCCTGACGACGACGTAGAAGCTGGAGCATATGGACGACGACGGTGGCTGTGAAACGGCCGATGGACACGACGGCAGCCGGCCCAAGTTTGCATCCGCCATGGAGGCGCTGGTCTAGGTGGAGCATTGCAACCTGCATGCTCCGGCTGCTTGGCCGAGATGGGCAACCGACGTCTTTTGGCTTTGTCAAGCTGCTGTCGCGGCCGGCGGAGGTTACCATGATCAGCGCGTCGGACTTTGCTGATCTCCTGATGCATATAGAAAACGCGTTTGTACAAAAACGTCTATTAGTCGTTTTTGTATAAACTGGTTTTTTGGGTTTTTGGAAGACCCAGTTTAGTATATCCACGAGTTAGTTAGAGGATCCAAACAATGTTTTAGGTTGTTACACCAGAAATCGGGTTTAAGGAAAACTAGTTTCCTATAATCTAGGTATCCAAACAACCCAAGGCCAACACGCATCCCGGTCCAGCAAGCAACGAGCCAACGAATCGCGTGCCGTGCCGGTGGCCTTCCCCTTTCGATTCGCACTCTCTTCCTCCCTCCCTCCTAGTGCCCTCACCCCACCACCCGCGCAGATCGCCGCGTACCAGCACAGGGAGAGAGAGAGAGAGAGAGAGAGAGAGAGAGAGAGCGAACGCGGGTTTGCCTCCCATGGAGAAGGGGGACGGGCCCGCCCTCCAGCCTCTGCTGTGCCTCGCCTGGCTCGCCGCCACGCTCCCCATCCTCGCCGCCGCGCTCCCCATCCCCGCGGCCGCCGGCGGCCGCCTCCTCCACAGCCTCCTCGCCGCCTTCTCCTCCCGCGGCAAGACCGTCAGGCCGTCCTCCTCCTCCTCCAAGGCGGTAAGATCAGCACCTCGGTTCCCGCTTTGCCTTTTTAGACATGTTCCAACTCATCTCCCCTAGGCTGCAGCCTGCCTCAATCTCCAGTGGGCCCTGGTTCGGCACGATCGCAACGCTTGAGCGAATTTTGGGCTTAGCAAAGCTGTCCGTTCTGAAATTTTGATACAATGTGCTATCTGGTTAGGGAAAGCATTAGATGAGTAATTGAGTATCCTACTCCATATATTGAAAAAGCTTGTGTACACTACAAAAGGGCGTTATAAAAAGCAAAAGAGGCAAAACAATTGCAGTGTTATCAATCCACGATTGAAGTTCTGTGTAGCCTTTTCCATTGACAACCATGGGGTCTCTCCCTCTTGAAGACTTTGATACAATGTATTTGGGAGATTACTTGGATGAAAAGGAGATTGCGGGTGGATTAGAAGCTCCTGTCTCTTTCTTTGAATTAATAGAAGGAGATTGTTGGTAGATTAGAAGCTCCTGTCCCTTTCTTTGAATTAATAGAAGGAGATTGTGGGTAGATTAGAAACTCGTGCCTCTTTTTTTGAATTACTAGAACTAGGCGTAAAAATGCCCCTGGTCCACTAAAATTCCTTTTGTTACTTACTGGGAGTGAGACAGGTTCAACCTTCCAAGTAAGAGAACATTTCATCCTTTAGACGAACTATGAGTACATGATACTTGGATGATTGTGAAGCTAACCTATGTTGCGTCCATTTTTACAAGTCTTTGCTTCTTTACAATTATATGTGTTATATACGTCTCTGACGGTCTACATGTCCTATGAGACACATACTGTCTATTGTTTAAATATTAATCAAGCAACCCATGGGTAATCCTCTGGCAAAAAATTATAACAATAGCTGACTCATGACAAATCGGGTTATGCGCAGGTTCTGGTAATAACTCATGGGTAAAAGTTTCTACCCATACGGTTATTCTCAGGTACCTATGTGTATCCAAACCCATGGGTAAAACTGTCATCTTTATGTAGATAATTTTGATGCATATATCGTACATTTGTCTTGTATTCTACTCAACTTCTGCATAAGCATCATAAACTGAAATAATCTTTATGAAATTGCAGAAGTTCACAGTTCCACAGAAGTACTTCTTGCATTTCTATGTGGTGGGAGTGGCGGTGACAACAAGCTTGCTGCTTGCAATATGCTTCTATGCATATATGGAAATGACACCGCTGTTGCCAGAGCCATCGAGTTACTCCACAATCGCTAGCCATCTTATTGGGTCAAATTCGTTCTCTTTTGGCAGTGTCCTGTCGCGCACCATGGAACACAAGTATCGTGTCTGGCGGACTGTCTTTGTACTTCTACTGATGGAAATTCAGGTGCTGAGACGCCTGTATGAGACTGAAAATGTGTTTCACTACAGCCCATCAGCTCGGATGCACATTGTAGGATATCTGACGGGTCTATTGTAAGTTCCACATTGGTTAACTTCCATTATGTTCTAGAATGTTGCGTAGTTGTTAATATGCTAGCTTGACTAAATACTTTCTCTTTTTCTTCCTTCTAGAGTTCTAGTCCTTTCTATTATAATTTCACATGCCTTTTCTGTTAGGTCTTGTTATGGTTATTTTCTGTAGTTCCGGGCTTGTACTTTATCAACAAAATATACAAGTAGATGGTGTAAGTTAAGGCATACTTTAGTTTACTGGATGATTTGACCACTCGTAATTGTAGTTCTAATTTTTTTACCACCTATCAATTAACAGAACAGTTATCTTTTTTACCTTTTTGCATATATTCTTTGATTTCTTGCTTTTTATAACGCTGGTCTTTCAGTAAAGGTTTCTTTGCACAACGATCATTGCATTGCTCTTTCCTTTTTCTGCAACAATTTGGATTGACTGACGATTATTTTTTTCCTGCAGCTATTACAATTTGGATTGACTTACAATTATTATTTTTCCTGCAGCTATTACACGGCCACACCTTTATCTCTCGCTAGCTCTTGTCTTCCTGAAGCAATAGATTTTATCCGAGGTCAAATAGTTGAGTTCATAGTAAAGGGTCGTGCAAGAATGCCAGACCTAGTCATTGATTCACCCTCTCTCCTAAAGCCTCTTTTAAAGTTGGGGTGGTGCCAGTGGATAGGTGCTATTATATTCAGTTGGGGATCCCTCCATCAGATCCGTTGTCATGCAATTCTTGTAAGTACCAGCTTCTTTTAGTGAGCCTAGAACCAGAGCCAGATAACAAATATTAGTTGGTTTCTTGTCTGAATGTGAACAACATGTTTACATATGCGAGTTGCAGCACAAATGTTGAAAAACGAAGCATCTGCCGATGTATTGAGACTTAAAGTTCGACTTCGAACGACTAATAAAACCTGCTTCCTGAAATCCTGTAGTTATGTCTTGTTGGAATCATTTTGCTACTTTAGATTTGATGGAGTGGAATTCATTTTGCAGTAAAAAATAGCAATCCCAAATACTTTCTTAGCCAATGAACATCAGGAACTCTTCATAAAGGATCATACCATATTTTTCTTAAGAGTCTTAGTAGCATCATGTAGGTTTATATTCAGATTGCATAATCTTCTCTTAGGTTATTTGGTATGCATATTTTATGTCCTTCAGGCAAGAAACTGCACCATTCAGCATCTTTTCCTTGCACACTTGGGCCAGAGTCTTCCAGATTTAGTAATTTTTTCCGAATCAATTGCTTTCTGTTTACCATTTTGACAGGGATCGTTGCGCGAAAATAAAGATTCTGATGAATATGTTATTCCTTGCGGTGACTGGTTTAGTCATGTGTCTTGCCCTCATTACCTTGCTGAACTAGTAAGTGCCTCCATTCTTCTCCCGTATTCAGCATGCACATGCTATTTGATGAATATGGCTGGCAACTGACAGTGCTTTTACAATGCGAGTACTAAACTAATCATATCTAAATTAGGATAGTCAATTGAAATCATAAATGAGGGTCCTGTGATGGATTTTCACTGGTGAAGCATTGGTGTGCGCAACTCCTGGTCAGGTTTTGATCGCTGGCGGGAGTGGATGAAGGACAGAAAACCTTTATGTTGCTTCTGATGGAATTGTTTTATGCACTGTTTGATGTTACTACAAAGTACAGACTTAACAAATTCCTTTGGTTCCCCATTTTTGCCAGCCTAATTCACAGATGCAGAGTGGCATTTGACCATATAAACTTCCCATAGAGGAGTAGGCAGCCTTACATTTAAACCAAGCAATCTGTAAATAGCCTAAAAATGATAAAATATTATATCATGGGGAGAGTTCCATATTATCCCACTGTTGTTGAGTAAGTGAACCTAACATAATAGGATAATCCTGTTCTTTTCTGTGGTTTGCCTTCACTCCAACTTGGTGCCGAACTGCCGAGTGTTAGAAAATATGCAACCTGTATTCCCTTGTGGCCATAGGCCAGTATATGTGCATGTACAACTGTACAAGTGCAGGAAATGTGCAGAAAACCCCTTATACAATGGGGTAAATACAAAAGGCTACATGACTACATATATAGGACTATAACACCGAGCAGCTAGCAGAAAAAGAAACTCTTATGGATTTGAAATTGGTATCTCATTAGCATCTATGGCTGTTTTTTGTTTTACAGGTTATATATTTGGGCATGTTGATAGCTAGTGGTGGTTCAGACATTTCAGTGTGGTTCCTGTTCATTTTTGTGGTATGCCTCACTAAGTTCTGTGCCAGTTGCATTCAGAATCGCATCAACTCGTGATTATTGTATCCTTTCAGTGTTTTCTATCATTCCAGCTGATTAAACTTCCCATTTTGTGCAGATAACAAACTTGTCATTTGCAGCAGTACAAACTCATAGGTGGTACCTCCAAAAGTTTGAAGACTACCCCCGCTCTCGCTATGCAATCATTCCATTTGTATTGTAGCATCTACAAGCATTCCTTCTGTGCAGTAAAAATCTGTGTGTTCTGGCTGGAATGCACAAGCCCGGCGTGTAAAAGATATTCATGTAAATGTGACAGCATGTAAGTTAAAATGTTGTGTTGTGTGACTTGAAATGCTTACAAGTGTTCTATTTCCAGTTGTAAATTACGATACATACTAAGGTAGTTGGGTCCTGGGTATGCAGTAACCTTTATGGACATATTTAAGGATTAGTAGAAAATAAAGTCCTCACAGAACCGGAAGCATGCCAAATTTGACAACTAGGCTGATATAAGTTCCGGACTCGAGAATCCGACTTATCATGGTGTTATAACTTATAAGTCATCTTTAATCATGTTTCTGCTGATTCTTGCAGTGTGTGTGTGTGTGTGTGTGTGTGTGTGTGTGTGTGGCTCATCAGGTCTGGGACTGAATGTTGATTCGTGCAAAGTGGAAATGCATGAGGCTTAAAAGAATGGAGACTTGCAGTCTGTGTGGACTGAATATTGGTGTTTCTGCTGCTTCCTGCAGTGTGTGTGGCCGGGCACTCAGCAGGTCTGGGACTGAATGTCTACGCGTGCAAAGTGGAGATGCATAAGGCTTAAAAGATCACCCGCGGAGCACCTTTGTTTTTGTTTAAAGAACACCAACACAGGTTACTCGAGTGGGATCATCCAGTGCCGGCTCCGCCTTCTTCCGTGCCTCGAATGAGTGCAATTTGCTGCTATTATCACAAGCTTTTATTTTTCTGGAAAGAAGGTATGATTAGCTAGCAAGTTAACAACGACCGGCATAGCTTATCAGGGTTCAGAGAGCCGTTTAATCTGAAAACTCCCTTAGAGTGCGCCGGCAGATCGGCACTAGCTGCACACTCCAGGCCAATCCAACGGCCTAAAGTCAAGCCACTCATACCGAGTGCCTGGAAAGTGCAGCGCCGCAGTTAGTGTAGTATAGGGAGATATCTGAAGAACACACACACTGAAGTCATACTGTCTAAAGCTAAGCCACTCATAGTGGGCGCCCTTTACCATTTCCAGAGCACTCATTCCGGCAGTAATCAGGCCGGTCGCCATCGACCTAAAACCGGAAGAAAAGTGCGCCGGCACCGGCAGAAGAAACACGCAAAAGATGGCCGAAGAGAGAGCCGACGGAGGGCAATGCAAGGCGCCACCAACCCACAGCACTACTCACTCATGCTCCTCACCCGGGCCGGATGAGAAAGCGCATCCATGATCCATCATCCATGGCCTCGCGGGGAGGGGACACGCTCCCTGTCTTTGCCCGGCTAATCCTCCCTCCCGGACGTGTGTGTCGCCGCACTTGCAGAGAAGTCTTGTCTAATTATTAGTTTTAATACTACTAGTAGTAGTACGCCTGTTAACTTATTGGCCTTGTTCTTTCCCCGGGCCAGCACGCACCATGGCGTGTGCGTGCATGCACCTTGATGGCTTGATTAGTCGCCTCTCCTTAAAAAAAGCCTAGGGTTTTCTCTGCCTCCCGTCGGTGTTGTCGCCGGCCCGCCTCGTCTTTGGTGCTTAGGGCCATGTCGGCGTGACGGATCCTGGACTTTGCCGCCGGGAGGGCTCCATCTCTAGATGTCCCTTCGAGTTTTGTTAGAGTTTGTGTCTTACTTAGGAGGACGAGACAACGGTGCCTTCATGAAAATGAAATAAGGTTCTTCCCGCCTAGGTCCTGTCTCGATGGTGCGTCTAGCATCGTCGGTGGGCGTCTGGAGATGTGTTTTTAGTGGATCTGTCCTTGGTGGATTTGCTCAGATCTAGTCGTAGTTCATCTATGTTTGTGCATCTTCAAGTTGGATGCTTCCGATCTACACTACTCTTCAACGGCGACGGTTGTTGTTTTGGTGCGCTGGTCCTACGGGGCCTTAGCACGACAACTTTTCAGCTGTCTCACCAAGTTTTGTCCGGCTCCAGCAAGGGAGGAATGATGACGGCGGCGCGCCTTCGGCTCACTTTAGTGCTTGTAGTCGTCGCTAGATGATCTACGGATTTGGATGTAAGTTTATTATTTCCGATGTTCATTGTACTGTCATGATTAAGGATGAATAAATTGAAACTTTTCTTGAAAAAAAAGTCGCTACTTGCTCGCTCGATCGGCAGACACCATGAGAGCCGGGCATCATTTGTTCCCTAGTGCTGTACTGGTTATGCTTGATTGATTACAGGAGCTGGTTCCCGCAAAAAATTTTTTTTTACAGGAGCTGGTGACGTCGCCGGGAGTTGGTGCCTCCACGAATCACTGGAATAACTAGCAGAGGACAGTGAGGTCTGGATAGAGTAGACGCTGGAGACCCCATGTTGACGAAAATCGAGCGGGATGCGCCCCTAAAAGTCTCCATCAAGCACACATTTACAAGTGCTAGCACTAGAGTGGGCGGGAGAAAAGAAAGGAATGTGAGCACTTCCATGAGCGTGTCCGCATGGGCCGTCCAGTTCAGATTACGTTCCCAACGCCGTTGATTCCTCTCTCAGGAACCAAACAGCTACGCCCACGTGGCGCCTAAACGGCTCTTTTCAAAGGGGACAGCTGCCCGCGGAGAAAACCGGACAGTGGAACCCAATTATATGCACGCCCGGTCATCAGCATGAGACGAGAGCGACGTGTGCATGGTGGGCGCCCCTCCTGCGTGTGCGAGCAACAGATAACAGTCCAAGCACCGTGACTGCCGGCCTGGACGGTCATGGCACGGGCGCCGGTCGTTCGCAAGACGACGAGCGAAATGGCGACGGAAGCCGCTTGCTACTATTTCTCCCTTTCCCGCTCGTTTGCGGTTCAAGGCTTGAAGCTGGCCGCCGCGCTAGCACGCTAGAAGCAGCACTTAATAATGGGCGACGCAAGGCCTGCGCTTAGAGCGTGTCCAACGCCGGGGTTTTCAATGGTGCGAGATGGCGTGAGCTCTCTTACGTTCGCTTGCGCGCGACTCACACAGGCACCTACGTCCACGTCTCGACATTTATTGTTTTTTTCTTCTCTACAATCAATGTAGCAACGCACAGTGGAGTACGTACGTATCTACTTAGGATTTTTCCGAAGTTAGCCACACTCAGACAACTATTCTTGGTATTCTCAGGGAGCTTAATTGCAGGGCTCACTATAATGCGGCTAGAGCTTACTCTTCGGAATGTGTTACTAGCAATGTCATGGCTCGTAATAGCAGGTCTCGTTTAGGTAGGTGACCACTGTCCTATGCTATTGAAGCTAGGCAGTCTAAACATCAGCCGTTGTAAAATCATGGATACAACGTTTCTTCGGATTAATGAAAGGCACCTGAGTCGTCGGGTTTTCGCCCATGGTGAGTAATCTCGATGGCGAGTGCTTATGGTGGGTTTCCGGCGATGCTTGAACCCGCTTTCCTCTTTCCCGTCTTATTTTCTGAACATGATTGTATTTCCGTTATGTTCAAGTAATGAAAAAGGGATTCGCCTGGTTCAAAAAAAAATGAAAGGCGTCTGAGGTCGGTTAGAAGTTCAGCTGGAATAAACTGAGTATGCATCATTTATTTATTTATTTTTAAATGACATTTTTATTAAATTAAATATAGTATCAAATGAATAAAAAGCATGGGAGCAAAACACAAGACATCTTCATGATTAGGATGCAACAAAACTCCACACACACACTGAAAAAACTGAGTAAAACTGTTCCTGGTCATCTGCTCCAGGCACTACATCGTGATGTAAGGCCCATGTGTAATTTGCATTACAAAAGTCTCCATACAACCACCATGACATCATCACATAGTTTCATATGAATCATACATGGCTCCACTAAGTCATTAGGTACATATGACATGACTAACTTATGGGCATACATGACATACACTAATTCTAAGCTTGAACCTCATGCATCAAGATGTCTTCATCCTTGTCATCACCTGGAACAAGCTCCTTTGGGTCCTCCTTCGTCTCGTCAAATGGAGCTCCCTCCAAAACTAGACCCAGCGTCAAGGTAGGATCGGTGTGATCACGGTGGGCTAGAGGCTGGCTCTCGTACCTTGACGAAGTCGGTAGGGACCGGAGAAGGTAGTCTCCGGCCCATGTACATGAGCGGTTGGAAAGTAGCAATGTGTGTGTGTCTCTAACCATAGACCCTCATCCGCGTGAAGCGGCCATGCGTCGGTTTCTTGAATGTTGGACCTCCTCGCAGACTCAGGAGACGAAGTAGTTCTCATGTCTTTTAAAGGTCATTGTGTGCCTCCACCTGCTCTAGGACGACTCATCCAAGCAAATGATCTGTGGCGATTGCGAAGTAGGTGAGCTGTTCCAAGGCCGAGTCGCACTCACTCACGGGGTATAAATCACTATCTCGGCCTCGAGTCCGTCCCTTTGAGGGAAGTAATGAACGACTCTCGGATTTGCCACTCCTAACAGCATGTGGCGGAGGCAAACAATCGCCCCATGAGAAATGAGTCGCATGGCATTGCACCCTGTCTACACACGAACGTTGGTGAAGATGAAAGGTCCTCACAGTCCATCGTCACATGTCTCCCTAGCAAGGATTGTCACGTTGTCCACATGCCCAGTGACCATGCATTTGATCTTCTAGTCGTCAGATGTGCATGTGGGCCTCTACCCCATAGTGCATGGGCCGCATTCGGTGCTGAAGGAAATATGCCCTAGAGGCAATAATAAAATTGTTATTTATATTTTCTTATATCATGATAAATGTTTATTATTCATGTTGGAATTGTATTAACCGGAAACTTAGTATATGTGTGAATATATAGACAAACAGAATGTCACTAGTATGCCTCTACTTGACTAGCTCGTTGAATCAATGATGGTTATGTTTCCTAACCATAGACATGATTTGTCATTCGATTAATGGGATCATATCATTAGAGAATGTTGTGATTGACTTGACCCATCCGTTAGCTTAGAACGATGATCGTTTAGTTTGCTGCTATTGCTTTCACTATAACTTATACATGTTCCTATGACTATGAGATCATGCAACTCCCGAATACCGGAGGAACACTTTG